AAGTAAATATTTTTTCAAGGTGAAATAACCTCCTTCAAAAGTTAAAATAAATAGAAAAAGTGGTAGAAACTAGTAACTTTAAACTAGGAAGTAACCTTGGTTTTTGGGCATAGGGTGAATTCATCCCCTGTTTTTTCTATTCTAGTGGCGCCATCAAGTGACTAACTGCCCTAAAGACGATTTACTGGGTAAAAGCTAAGGTAGAAATTATTGAGAGTGACTCAGTATTGAGGAAAAAAACGACCAAAGTTAATAGCTGCAAAAGAAAGATCTCGTGTGATCGGAATTCAAGCTAGTATTTATAGATCTTTATCAAGGTCAAGCTGCTGAAGAGAGAGCACGAATATATAAAAGTACTGTGAAGTGCGTGTGAAAGAGAACCCTAAAGGAGTGAAATAAATAATGGAAACTGATGTTGAGGTGTACCTGTTGGTAGTACCTTTGCTTGGTAGAAGCTCTTTCTAATCTAGACTTTGCTACTGACTTGGAGTAATCTAATGCCTCTTTGCTAGCGGATAGGATTGCCTCGAGGTATAAACAGTGTAGGCCCCTTAACTTCCTTGTGGCAATAGTGAATCTTCATTTATGCAAGGCCTCATACAAATCTTTTTTCATTCTACTTTAGCGTCAAGAACACTATTGATTGAGCAGTTCTGCTTCATGGTCCAGGAGGGCCATTGTTACTATCTTTGACTTTATTACTGATCCGATATGGTAAAAAACCTAGAACTCTGTTATTCTAGATCTTGAGCTTTATATACTGCATTGCCTGTAGAAGTTGTCTCTTCTTATGGGGATTAAAGCAGAACATTTCGAAACCGTGCTGAAACGTGGGGAGGATTGGCTTAGTGCTGTGACTACGCTGGCCTTCAGTGCGAGTACCAAATATTCAAAGCAAAGGTCAGGTCTGAGTCCTAGTATGAGTGATGACAGGTAGTGCTATACCCCTTTCTGGACTACTAATACAGTTTGGTACCTGGTCATAAGTGCTCTGAAAAAGTGTGCTTACAAATAGTTAAATTAGGATCGGGCTGCATTAGTTTTAGAATTGTACTTTGCCGGGGAACTAGCTACTCTTTGGCCGAGGGACAGGAATTAAATATTGTCATCTGCCAGTTTATCTATATATATTTGCTGATCCTTGTCTTGAACGGGCCTTCCGTGTTCACTGACGAAACTCTTATGGCTCTTGTGACCCCGCTTCTATGGCGTTTTTGGAGATTGATTCGAATAGACTCACTAACCTAGAACTTTGATCGGATGGCTAAACCATGGAAATTCAAATAAATCCTGCTGAGGTTCTAATAATGATCCAGTTTGTTAATACTTGAAATTAAGAAGAGAACATTATAATATTATTAAATTTTATAAGCGTAAATTTATGTTATTACTCTCAAAGCAGTATTCATCACTCTTACCAAATTGTTAGAGGTTGAACGCACACTATTTATAAGCTCATTGGAATGATGCAAGTAGAAATTATTACAAGGTATAATTAATAGTGGAGGGGCACCCTCCCCCCGTTTTAGTAACTAATAATTTATAGAGGAAAACGGAACTTAAATTCTTTAGCTCAAATTAACGAAAACAAAACTTTGAAAACAATCTTTAGATTGCATAATAAATTAATAACTTCAGAGTAGGGGCATCTTAAGCTACTCCTTTGCTATGAGCTAAATATAGTACGGTTTAAATTATATTAATAAATAGTGCCGTATTTCTTGTGTTATAAAATTAGATTATTGCAGTTTTTAAATAATTAAGTACTTGTAGGACACTCACAACGTTTACTCAACTTATTACTCTTGATTTATACCTCTATATGCTCCCAGTCTTTTTTAAAAAAGTAATATTTTACTTACCAAAACAATCTTAGTGGGGGTAATAGAATGACTCTTATACAATCTCTACTTTCGTTTAAGTTATCGAGTTTATTTTATTAAGTAAAATAGCGTAACACAATACATTATTTCAATTACGGAAGTTTTCTGTCCTTACATGTTCTGACAAATAGGTGAGGATAATCCCCTATCAACGATATTAACTTTAAAAACTTGTTTTTTGAAAAGTCTAGCCTTAAAAGATACACCAAATGAATTACAAAAGGAAGGGATAATTTTTTCTAGAGTGTAGCAACATCAATATCTCGGCGTTTATCGTAGCATTGTACGGATTCCCTTTAAATTTCAACCCTACCATTAAAAACCGAGATAGAGAGTTGTGTGAGTGAAAATTAAAACACCTACCTTAAGTGTACGGGCCATGCACTTTATCTTCCTGCGGAGAAGGCATTAACAATTGTAGCACTCTTTTTTTCTTTTTTTTTTTTTTGGGGAGGAGGAGGAGGAGGAGTTTTAGTTTTTCTTAAAACTACTTGCTCGCATACTATGTTGCTTTAATAAATAGTTATTGCCTTATTCTGTCGGGTTGATGGAGAAAAGATTAAATATGGAGACAGTTGGCGAAAACTTAAGCTTTCCCATAATTAACGTCAACAACTTCAGTGCTCGTCTTAAAAAGTCGTAAGATTTAACGAATTGCTTGTTCTGAGAGCTTACCTGTAATTTCTTTAAAATTTATAAAGAGGCCGTTTTAAGTTTGTTAAGATTGCCAATTAAACGTCTCTCCACGTAAATTTGAGTTAGTACAATAGCTGCTTCTATAGTAAAATAGCGAACTTTTTAAAATGCTTGCTCAAAGTGGTAAAGAATTTGAGGAATGCCCGAACAACCGGTCTTTATAGTTAGCTACTGACTTATTAAGAAGGATGAAAAGGGTCCAGGTCTTTGGATCTCGTTTTTAAGCTTTTCACTAATAGGTTATAGACGTGTGCAGTGGATAAGATGATCGGCTCACAACACATAATTATCATCAGAAATAGTTGGCAGTCCAATGCAGTAGTAGCTCTGATGAGAAAACTTTAATCCCTCTGGTAAACAAATTATCTAAAAGATTAATATTGCATTGCCTACTTTTAAGCTATAATAAAAATTACGGTTTAACTTTCATAGAAAATATTTGAGCTGGGAACAGGCTTAGATTTATAACAGTGTTAAATAGTGCTAACTACACATTAGAGATAGGTATTCCCTTATATAGTGTAAATTTCTAAGTATATATGTGTCCAGCGGTAGATACCCAGTTTTACTCAACAAAGAAAAGTTTTGGCTAGCTGGAGGGTGAAATCCAATTCTTTAGAATCTCTTTCTCCACTTTCTCTCACCTGATTGTGGTTTTACCATACTAGGTCAAGTAAACTTCGAGACATGTTCCTCTATTGTTTCTCAGTACTTCGAGGGGGTTATAATACTTTTATGGGGGAACACACGATACACTGGTAGGCGATGGTAGCCCAATTCATGTTGAGGAGGAAAATATAGATTAAGCGGTTTAAGGTATTTCGAAAAACCGACCATAGCATGCTATTACCAAAATAAATAAATATAATAGAGTGCAATTTTTCTGCTAAGGTGCTTGTCGATTGGCAAAAAGTAGGTTTTACTAAGCAAGTTAAGGGTATTGTTATAGTTTTTATGCGGTTAATGATGTGCTGTTATAGTGTCTAAAAAGTAGGAGAGCAACGTTAAGTCAAACATTCAGGTAAACAGTTTTTAAAATTTATGTTATCAGTGTAAAAGTTTAAAATTTGTCTAGGTATTCTGTGAAGTTTACTTCCGGGGTAATTAATTATTTGGTCGCTATTGTTAAATTTATTTCCCCTGTGGCGTAGAGCTTGAGATTGATTAATAGCGTCTGTTATTATGAAAACTCGGAGCACTTATATCCTGATAAATAATTTTAAAATTACATTAACTAAAAGGCCTCCAAAAAAAAAAAAAAAACACATGAGAAAGGGGAAGAAGTAAAACGAAATACATAAAATTTATTGAGCTTTAGGAGAAAAATATATACTAGTACTGCGCTTAAGTCAGATAGTTATATGGTACCAATACTATTGTTCTATATTAATTATTATCTAACAAACCTAAACCCTAACCTCCGGGTGCGCAATCATTATGGAACCGTATGTACGCTTGAAGTCAGCGATCTAGAACATTTCGTTACACATTTTTGTTTAAAAGGAGGTAATCCAATTCTGTTGTAGCTCATAAATAATATTATGTATAGAGTTGCGATTATCTCCGTTCTTAGTTTCAGTAAAAGAAACAAATTTTAGCTCATTTTACATTCATTGGTCAAGCAAATCGACCTTGCAGTTACTTGTTATTTTACAACGATATATTAACGTAAAGAAAAAAAGTTTTTGTTCGTCAACTTTTAATTTTTTAAAAATTTTTATTTGCATGAGTAATAAATATATATCTAAAACATAAAAAATAAAATGTTAAAACAAATATAATAATATTGTACAATAATTGAACACAAGCTTGACTTTGTACGCGGTGATATAAATTATCAATAAATATAAATACAAGAAACCGTAAGTTTAGAATTAAAAAATTCAATGTGTTTTAAGTATCATTTATATTAAAAAACATTTATATTTTATTCCAATATATATTTATTTATACTTTTCCATTTATTATTATAAACAGTAAAAAAAATCTTAATACCGTTTAAACTAAAAATGTTGCAAGTTTTTAAATATAATGAATTTTTTCAAAGTTTACTGAAATTTAAAATATTGAGATATTTTTAACAAAAACCAATATAATAATAACTGTCACAATAATGGTAGTTATGAGTGATAGTAATCAATATATATAACGGAAATTAAATGAAAATTATATAACCCCATCAGAAATTTCTAAAAATAGATTAATAAGAACAATTCTCCTCTTACAATATATTTATTAGATAGCGTTTAGTAAATAACCGAACCGCGGTAATAACTTTGCTGAAAGCGTTTACTGTTCAGTGAATGGTGCTAATGACACAGTTCATAATTGGCCGAAGAATTTTAGAAATGCGACGCAGGACTCTCGCGGAACTCCCTTTAAGTAGCTGGCAATTACTCTAGTTTTCAAAGTCTTTGTAAAATGACCTACTCGTGCAAGTCTAGCTTGCTTTTAGCCTCTTTATCAACTTCTATAGCCGCCTTATCTTTTACTTTAACAAACTCTGCATGTGAACAAAACACCGAGCCAATTTTTTCAAAGACTCAAAACTTTCAAAACTTATGGGAAAATGGTTACTTATGTAGTAGAGAAGCGGTAAAACAAAAACAAAACGTTCATTTCATTCGTTGGGATGGAAACTGGGATAAAGTATTGGGCGAATATATTAAGAAATTATTTCAAAATGTAATAATAATCTTTAATTTTTTTTGTTAATTGAAAAATAGAGAGAGGGTTGCGGTAACGGCGTTACTAGAAAAATTTATTTGGTCAGACACGGGCAAGTAAATATATAATCCCTTTAATAAACTTCTCTTTTTATATGTCCCGTAAGTACCACCTCACAGGAGAAGAAAAAGATAAAAAGTTAACGGAGGCTGGTAGAAAACAAGCTAAGATCTTAGGTAAAGCTGTCGCCGACTCCAAGATTGTGTTCGACAGGATTGTAGTTAGGTAAGTTTATACGCCTTATCTTGCTTTATACCTCGTAATAAATTTCTTTTTAAAAACGATGTAGTTCACTAAAAAGGGCTCAAGAAACTGCACAAATTATTCTTCAAGAGATAGACGCTTCTAAGGTTAAAAAAATTGAACACTGTGATCTTTTACGAGAAGGTTAGATACTAACTTATAAGTTCTGATTTTTCTTATCTTACTAATAAGGCTTGCCGTGCCCACCGGAACCTCCATTTCAACAAGAAAAGCCGGAGCTTTGTTATTACAAGGATGGTATCATTTAGTTTGCAAGAAGTTGGGAACGCAAGCCTGCTTTAATTAACAAACTTCCGCGCAGGGGTGAGGATAGAAGCAGCCTTTAGGAAATACTTTCATAGGTGCTTAAGAGTTACTTTAACTGCATACAAGACAAGCAGGAGTAGCTAACATACTCTATTACTACAACCAAGATCTGTCTCGGAAAAAAGCGCATCTCCTAATATGGAAACCAATGAACTCTACATTTGCCATGCTAACGTTATTCGTTACTTTGTGTGTCGGGCACTACAGGCAAGTATATAAAAATAGTCCAGTGAGCATATGTGAATGCCTGCTTTTATTAGCTCCCTCCGGAGGCGTGGTTGCGGATGTCCTTGAGAAACTGCAGCCTCACTCAAATCAACATATACGACGACGGACTAGTCACGCTTCAGCGGCTTGGAGACGCTGGTTATTTCCCGCCGGAACTCCTTACAGTCTCGTAAGCGTAGTAATAAAGGCAAGCGTGGCGCTACCGTCTTGCTAAGTTTTATCGTTGAAAGCGTTTTGAAGAAACGATATCTCAATCAGTTTTTCCAATCTTAACAACTCATCGTCGTGCTTTTAAGCAAGCAAGTAAAAGTAAATAAAAAATTAAGTTTAAAGGAAAAAATTACAACCTGCGAAAAGTAGGATTTGCAGGTGCATCGCAGGTTTTCGGCAATATCAGTGAGTGGATGCCGAGGCCCGTTGTACAGAATGCAGTTGTTTACCATGAGGTCAATGTCTTTCATAAAAGCTTCTCTGGTAAAGTACTCTTGTTTGTTTATGTTCTCTTGGATCTAAAAATAACGGAAGAGCAACGGATAATGCAAGCCCAAACACTAGAAGAAACTTTCGAAAGATCCATTGGTTGTTTTATGATGGCGTAGTAGTCGGAAACAAACCTGGCATCGACTTTATAATGGAAGGGCCACGACTAATATGCGAAGCTTAAACGAAGAAACAAACGTTGGTGTATGAATAGAGGATGTACGTCCGGAACGTCCCGCATTTTCTGCCAAACAGTTTCCAAGTATCTTTGAAACTCAATGATTGGCGAGAAGCGACGCTGGACTGTCCGCTGACTTTTTTTAGCCGAAGCTGATGAAGCAGAGACGCTACATATTCGGTCCGGTTGTCAGTGCCAGCCCGAATATCATTGTACTACGGAAAATAACTACTTTTTCTTGCGCTTGGAAGCTTTGCTTGAGGTCAAGGGTTGCAATTTTTCTTTTTGTGCTACGAGGGCGGCTTCTAAGCTTGCAACGTTGTCAAGTCTTGCAGTTATGAAAATAAAAAAATAAAAATTTTAAAAAATAAGCGGACGGACTCCTCTTCTGTTGCTTTTGGGCTTTCAAGAACGAAATCGGCGGGGATTGAGAGCATCAAGCCTTCAACCTTCAAGACACTTGCGGGGCTGGTATCATTTTCCTCCTTGGCAAGTTCGTCCCTGCCATGCTTCCCGAGGCCCCCCACCTTGACGTCCCTGTCTTTCTGTTTTAGTTCCAGCGGCTCGTCGGGGAGCTCTACCACGGCATTACTGAATGACCTGTTTGGGCACAGCTGTCACAATAGAAAAGTTAAGTTGTTTGCTACAGTATCAAAAAAAGTAGATATCACCTACCTTGTTTGTCTTCATGTGGCCAATCATACCACAAGCGCCGCACTTAAATATTTTTTCTTTTTGAACTTGCTGACTCTTGGACTTCCCTATAACAGGATGCAGGTAGGCCCGTCTGTGCGGGATAAAGTGAAGCACTGGGTTACCGTCTGAGCTGT